AAACACCACTATTAGTCTAGAAAAACTCCAATATTTAAAAAATGAGAAAATGCCTGCAAGGTTTTCTTAAAAATATTTTATAGTTGCGTGAATGTAGAAAATTAAACAGGTACTACAAAAAAGTATTTATTTGAAAAAAGTATTTTGAAAATACGTATTTTACATTTAGCGTTTAAAATACAAAAGGGCAATCTATTTTGTATTTTACATTTGAAATAACAAATCAAAAAAGTATTTGCATTTTCTGTTTAAAAACTTTTAAAAAACCATTGTGCGCATTTCTAATTGTAATACACTGTTATAGAGTACAATCAATTTCCGTTCAAATACTAAAAAAAATTGTTTTGCGTTTTATTTAATGCACCTAACATTATTAAATTTTATGCAATGCATATTTTATATAATAAAAAAAAAGACCTTGCATTCGTATGACATTACCAGTTTTAACTAGTTAATTCCAAATTCTAGCGCAATGCGAGAAAACTACCCAACGTTTTTTATGATTTTAGAAAAAGTGCCTTAATTCCATATATATACAAAACTTAAAATATCTATAATAAAAAGCACGCGATTAAGATGATGTTCGACATACTGGATAAAAGAAGAACACCTGTACCATTTCCGAATCGATTTTTAATTATGGCTTTTATTTTATCGACCGTTTATGCTTCGCAAGAAGAAGAATTTCACCAAATAGTATTTCCGCAACATTTTGCAAAGTTTAATATAAAACCAGGTAAATAAAAATATAATAATACCAGGGGCGTACCTAGCTTTATGGTCGTTAAGGCCGCTCCGGACATATACAGATATAAAAAACTTTTTTTTTGAAACTTTTATTTATGCAAATGTACCTAATATCTGCAAACAAAACATATGTACAATTCAAAATTAAATAACATAAATACCATAGAAAAAAACAAATAGATTTTCCGGTGATGCCGAATTCCCTCCCGCACGTAGTTTTGGTTAAAATATAGATATCGAATTCCCTCCCGGGTACTAGCCGAGTTCCCTCCCGTTCATATCAACTCCGATAATAATTAAATTAACGACTACTTACCGATTTTGTTTATTGAAAATAAATATATATTTATAGTGCACTTCAGTAGGTATTTCAGTAAATTAAAGATAAAATAATTTCAGAAAAAAAACACATATCAGTTATGAAATGTTTATTTATTTAATTTTAAAATGGTTTCCTACTACCTTAACAAATTCAATGTTTAGTAATTCGTGTGCGTCTAGCTTTTTGATGCACTCATTCAGAAAAACTTTATTAGTTTTAGTTAGTCTTGTATTTGACCAATAGAAGGGTAGTCCGATAAAATTATTATTGTTATTGTGGTGTCTATAATATGCGAATAATATTAAGATTAATATGTGATGTGAGGCTGTATTATTTAAACAACTGTTTATGACTTTATAGTGGCAATTAGCACTCAAGGTCCGCCGCCGTTGGGAGGCAATTGATGTATAATTAGGAGGGAATTCGACATACCAAAAATTTTAACCCTAATTAAAAACAGGTATATGAGAGGGAACTAGGCATTATCCAGATTTTCTTGCTTTAAAGTAGAAATTTAATCGTATAATTTAATGCCACCTCATTTTATAAGGAAATTAATGCCAATCCGCTGAGTCTATTCTGATCAATGCTTGATCCTGAATAATTTTCTATTACTATTAATTTGAAGAAACTTCTTTCTCCAGAATCAACAAAAACGGGTAAGATTAGCAATATTCATAGCATTAGGGACAATTGTGGGGGCTTTACTGTAGGGTCTAATCCTTGGACCAGAAATTATTAGGTCTCATTTAAAATGACTTTTCAAGGATTTTTTTCAATGGGGAAATTTTTCCCAGTATCATTATAGGTAACGATTTCCTGGTCTGTGTACTGCATATTCAAAAATACGAAAATAATAAACAAACCAGGTAAAGAGCGATGGTTTAGAATATTTTTGCTTATATATACTTATACAAAATACACCAAACAGATGGAAATGGTCAACTTACTATAGAGATACTGACCCCGGCACCCCCATTTATAGATTTTAATAAATAAAAGCAAGGAAATTCGACAAAGAGCGAGGGAGTGAATAATAAGAGGAAAAACGAGCAAGACGTTCTTCAATTGAGCGAACTGCGACAATGCTGAACTACAAAATATATTTTTTCTTAGTAAATACAAAACCTTCAACCTAAAAAAGTAAATTTGTAACCGGTTTGTCCGCCCCTCGAAAAGTGCCGCCCGGGGTTGTTAAGATGCCGACTCAATCAAGAGAATTTGCGACAATAAAGATTGACCCCACCTATACATTTGGACATTATAAGAGCCCGTAATTAATATTTATTTATTAAATTGCAAGTTACAAAAAGGGCTTTACATGCAAGAGCAATAAGTTTATTTTGTAGTATTCTTATAAATTCGGAATTCCAAATGAGACACAATTAAGATCAGGTTTAAACATTTCGAACATTTGGTTTTATCCATACAGAAAAAAAGTTAGGAGGACTATTTTTAACGACTGGTCGATTTTATAGTCAAATTCCCCGAATATGTCAGCAGAAGAATAAAAATCGAGACTCAAACATTCGGTACAAGCCTGGGGGAGGTGGTCACATTTCTCAAACCTCCGGGACGCCCCTGAATAATACAAAACATTGTTCTCGTAAATTTTATTTTATTTTATTTTCAATTTGTAGTTTTAGAACTCGAAAGGATAAATATCGTTGACAATAATGAGTGCTCGAGTGATCATAAACAAAATGGTAATGTTTTTGGTTGGGCTGATTACTCTGTCCTAATTACAATGCTAGTTGTCTCTTGTGGGGTAGGGGTGTTTTATGGATTCTTTTCAAAGAAAGATGAAACTAGTGATGATTTTCTGTTAGGAGGTTGTACTATGGGAACACTTCCAATGGCACTCTCGTTAGCAGCAAGGTATTTTTTTTTAATACAGAGTGAATGAAACAAAATTAAGAATTTCTTGCTTAATTTGTCTTTTTTATTTGATAATTATACAAGTTCATACATATTTTTGAAAAACGTATGTAATCCACTTAACCTTCCCATTGAATTTTTCTCCATAATTTTTAGATATAAGAGCCCATTAACTTTACCTTGAAAGATTGTTTTCCTTTTACTAAATTCTTATTATTTCCATCTTTTAGCTTTTATTTTCGAGAAAATTGTTAATGAAAACACAAACGTTTCAGTTGTTCACAAACGCAACATCTCATAAACTACCTTATAATGATAGAAATAATTAAATTAATGATAGAAACAGTAGAGTTTACTAAGTAAATTGTAATCGTCTCCATTTTCACGTGATTTTCTTTTAGTCATTTCAAATTTTTTAAATACTTATTGCAATTTAATCTGCACAATCAACTCATTTTAATTTGTTGAGATACAATTAAACATTGTAATAATGATCAATTCTGATCTACTTTGTAATTTTTATTATTTTTATTTTCGAAAACGTATTTCATTCCCCGGAAGTACACTATGACGTTGAGGTGTATTACACTTTTGCAGAGTGCATTACCATCGCATTTCTATAATGCTTCAACATATGCATATTCATATACTTGCACGTATTCAATATATATAATAAGTATAATTATACCTTGAAAGTACTTACGGAAGAATGCAACTTTAAGGAACCATATCTCAAAAAGATTAGTTTTTACGACTTAGCGCCCAGTGAGAACTATCAGGATCGAAAGTTTCAAAGAGTTTAACAAAGGACCATTTTCCGTTAAGGATCAAGTAGAGCCCTCTGGATTAATTTAACTGTTGTTTAAAAGTTCAAAATCTGGTTGCATCAAAAAATAATTCTACTTATTTAACTTTGTACTACAGTAAGTTACGTAAAATAGTAAAAAATGTAATAACGCGCAACATCGGGGAAATACCCGTACCGGTGGTATTTACCTGAATCTACGCACAATAGTGACGAGTAACTGTCATGGATGTATAAAGTACCTAATTTATAAAAGGATTATTTATAAATTCTACGATCAGAGATACTTTCAAAATAAATAAAAATTATATTATATAGGCAGTTAATAAGGACCTTTTAACTGTGTTCTCTACAGTAGGATTCTGGTTGTATCCTTGTTCGTTAACTAAAAGTTTCACATAATTTTCAGTTGTACTTATATTAGACTTGTCGTTTAAAGAAAATAATGGGATATAATAATTCTTATCCCTAATTACAACAAACAATTGTCTCATAGTGACACTTTATTTCCTCACCAAAGTATCTTATTTTCTATTTAAAAGTACTATTTTTTTGTGACAGTTTCATAACAGCTATAGAACTTTTGGGTAACCCTGCCGAAATGTACCTTTATGGTTCCCAATTTTGGATGATTTGCATCGCCTTTTTGCTGGTGGTTCCGATCACTTCAAAATTCTATTTGCCAGTTTTTATGAAATTGAGGTTGACAAGCAGTTACGAATATTTGGAAAAAAGGTTCAATTCCAAGATAAGACTCCTTGCGAGTGGTCTTTATATTCTTCAGATGGTTTTTTATACGAGTGTGGCAGTCTACGCACCAGCTCTTGCTCTAAGCCATGGTAAATTAGTAATTAATTATGATATGATGACTAATTTAGATTAATGTTTTACACAATTTTAGATTTAGAACCTTAACCGACGACACTTTCCAAACTTATAATTTTTTTCTTTCCACAAACAATAATGTTTAGAGGAGGGGGGGATTTTACGTTCGAAATAAAAAAATTGATAAAATTTTAGTTTGTTATCCATATAATTTAGTTTACGCCACTTAGTAAATACCGTGAATTAAATGTACAAAGTGATGATATTGGATAATATCAATGATTCGTGACCTGTACTTAATTCGTATAATTTCAAAGCAAAATATAAGCTAAAAGGGCAAATCAGTTCGATGAAGGGCCTACCAAGAGAGGAGAATTGTGCAGATAATAAATGGACAATTCCAAATTTAAATAATTCATTTTATTCCAACATTTCTGGCATCAAACGATACCAAATCGATTTAAATAATGCTCCTTTTGAAATGCTCCTTTTGATGTGTAATTGAATATAAACAGTTTCAAAAATTGACCTTTTCCAATTGTCAGACTTGATGAAAATTACGTAATTTAGACACTTCCTAATGAATTTTTGTTCCGTTTTTTCATGATATCAATTAAGCATTTACAATTTGGTGTTTTTTTTTTAAATTCTTTAATTCAATTCCAGAACCCGGCCTTAAATTTTCGGGGTCGTCCATAAAGGGGAGAGAGGGTCATCGAATTGTGACTATGTCGGTCAATGGGGGAGGAGGATTAGGACTTGACATCATCAAAAATTAAAAAATTGTACCAGCAAATCCCCCATATTATATTATAAAAACATAATAAATTTTAAATATTCCGCGCGTAAATACATATTAGGTTCCACGTCATTTATTTATTATGAAAAAAAAAAAAAAGAGACAATTGGCATTGCGAGGTGTATGTATTGATGGGAAGGTCTGCAATTTGTGACGTCTTTATAAAGGGGGGTCGTCAAAATGTGACTGTGTGATCCCAGAGGAGGGGGGGTATGAAAATGTTGAAAAACAATGGACGTTTTTTATATACGACCCCTTCGATTCTGCTCTTTGGAGATCCATTACATAGCACATGTAATACATTCACTTAATTTTTCCAATTACACATCAGTGAGAGCATTGTTTTGGTCAATTTTGTATTATTTAATATGAAATGTTATTAGAAATCAATGAATTATTTAAGTGTAAATTCGCTTATTAATTTATTCTTTCTACAATACTGCAAGATGTGACCAACAAAGTAGTTGAAATAACTGTTTATTACCCCAGTAATCATGGCGATATTTACTTTGATAATCTGGCCCAGATACGAGGGTGGATTGATAAGTTTCCGGCCTGACCAAGAAAAACAAGGTTTTTAAAAATTTTTTTTTTTATTTCTCAACATAATCTCCTCCAAGGCTGATACATTTCTCATAGCGGTGTTCCAGTCTATTAATGCCATCTCTATAGACTGATTCGTCAAGCTCCTCAAAATAACCATTTACAGCTTCGATTAC